AGTCTTGTTTATATAGTGGGTTGTGTGAATAATATATAATTTAATAAGTTACCTACCACTTGACTAACTTTAACTAGCCAAAGGCTAACAAACTAACCAAAGGCTAATCACCACTAGAGTGGTGCTTCGCACCACTCGTGCCGCTCCTCAGACCCGGTCCCGATCTCGGTATGCGCACGTCGCAAAGTACGCATTGGGGCGCTTTAGAGGTGCACTTGGCACTTCCCGAGGAGCTGGGGAGCCTTATAATTTTTGGAAATGGACTCGTGGTTCGATGATGTGGCAGCACAAGGCTCGGTAAGTTGGCATTCTAGATGGCACATGAGTAGTAGGTCGCGTCCCTTCGTCCTGCGTGGCGGTTAAATGTACGCGTGGCATCCGCATAGCTGTGACTGTTCAGAAATTGGTGAATAGGCATGATGAATGGACACTTCACTTCATGGTTCAATCTGGGCCGTCAGACCATGAAAATAGTGCGATCCAATGACTAGGACGAATCAGACCAAGTGGTGCACCAGTTCCTGAAATGTCACATACCTATTCCATGAGACACTTCAATCTCTATAAATAGAGACCCCCAAATTCGTTTTTGACACACCAAATCAATTACGAATTTAATTGATTTCTAAATTCTTCTCTCTCCATATTCTGCTCTAAAAATTCTCTTATATTTTCGTGGTTATTCCGTTCGAATACGATCATTCATTGGTTCAACCGACAAGGTTGGTATTGTGCCGTATCGACTTTGGAAGGAGCGTTGTATCTTGGGAGACAGATATCCATAATTCCGTTTGCATTTCATTGAAGGGCGAAATCTGTCTTAAGGAGATTTACTTATTTTATTGGCATACCTCGCTTCATTTACCGTTTTATATTTTTCTGCTTATTTTATTTGTTCTTTTGATTGCGTTAGTCGAATTTCCGACAACACCTCCGTCGTGCTTGCGGTCATGGAAATGACGTTTAGAAATTAAAAGAAAAAAAGACGTACTTTCTCATTTTATGCTCAGATACACAATTTATAAATCGTTTATGTATTCAATCAAAATGAAAGGATTAATTTCAATTATATACATTCATAATTTCTACTCATTATTTAGATATTTCAGGGAAATCAATATTAATTTTCTTTACCATTATAAATGAATAATGTTATGTGTTGTCAACGAATATAGTAGTTGCTCTACGTGGCTTTCGATGTGTCTGCTTGTTATTTAATACATTAATTTTCTCTAATTTTGTTACATCAAATAATAAGTTAATGCTTGAATAATAAACTGTCACATAAGATAACTATTACAATCGCTGACTATTAATAACATTACTTTTTATAAACTTGAACGGAGGTTTAGTAAAAATGGTATTTATTTTTTTTCTTCCAGTAGCGTGCTTGTACTTGAAAGTGCTACCCACTAATTCGGTTAATTAAATTAGAACAATGTAAGGGTTTTCTCTAAACCAAACACGTGAACAACTTCTCATAAGCTGATTTCATATACTAAATTAGTATATATAATGTGATAGATCATAGATTTGACTTTACTTTATTTTCTTGAACTTTCTTACTTATAATTGACAAACATAATTAAGAACTACAAAGTGAATAACTCTTTGTACAAGGTAAAAATAATTATACTAACTACATATTGCACTATAATGAAAGTAATCACGCAGAATCTAAGAAATAATACGAGTACTTAATATCGAAATAAATAGAGAACATTTATCATTATGAAACTAAAAAATTTCACAGAATAAAGATTTTTCAACGTTGTGGTTCTCATTCTTCAATTGTTGCAATTTTATGAGCCAACTGGGTGGACCCTACCTTACGCACTCTCTATAAATAACCATTCCTCTTCTTCACATATCAGCTCATCACTTCTCACTCTTTCTCATCTTATTTCTAGCCATCTTCTGCCTCAAATTTAGCCATATTTCTCATCTTAATTTCATTGCATTTTGAATTATATATATAAGTAAAAGTGATTAATGGCGTCTAGTTCGATATCTTCGAGTGGTACAACCACTTGGACCGCTAAGGAGAACAAGGAGTTCGAGAAGGCACTGGCGATGTATGACCAAGACACGCCCGATCGGTGGGCCAATGTGGCGAGGGCAGTTGGAGGGAAAACCCCGGAGGAGGTGAAGAGGCATTATGAAATCCTTGTTGAGGATGTCAAATACATTGAGAGTGGACAAGTGCCTTTACCCAACTACAAGACCACTGCGGGCGGCAATCGAGGTAGTAACATCAATGCCGAGTAGAGATGTAAAACACTACACCCCACTTATAATTTGTACGCAATAACAAGATTTTTACTTTATAATATTGTCGAGTACTGCAGAGTTTATTTTTAACTCTTTTATTCCCACGAAAATTAACCCATCCCAACCCAAACTTACAAACACAATATATTTATATCAAGAACCCATCTATTTGCAGTCATATTCTATCTCATGCTAAGTTTAGTTTAGCATAAGCTTCCGTAGATTCCTTAATAATCACATGTACATGGAAAATCATAAATACCCACAGCTGTCGTGGCGTACCAATTAAAACCTAGGAAATTGTCGGTTATTTATGGTGATATAAGAGTCCGTACTTAGCCGCCTAATTTGAAATTTCACGTTTAACTAGTTGCGCATTTTTTATCTTGTACTTTGTAATTAATTAATTTTCAAGATATAGACATAATTATAACTTGCATTCATGAATCACTCCGAAAGCTCGTCTTAATGAGGGTCCCATCGTAATTTTCAAACTTGTAGGAAATCTAGGATGAATAATGCCATTTGTATGCCGAATCTTACCCTCCCCTCACATGAGGGGAGGGCCCACGCCCATTTAATGCGTGGGCCTCACCCCCCATGTGAGGGGTAAGGCTCGGTATACATGTAGTAGGGCCGAATCTAGGATAGATAAGCACATTGAGAGAAGCTACATTCCCAGACCTGTCCATTTAGCATTTTTGAAGCACATTTTCCTTTGCAGTTTTCACATGCTAGATATTTGTAAAGTGTGTGTGTGTGTGTGTTTTATTTATTTATTATCCTTGATTAATATTTTATGTTGTAGCCATGCAGGATGAGAAATAAAAGCTCCATTGATGAAGCCGGACGTAAACAAGTTGATGATATGTTATGGTATTTGAATTTTCAACTAAGTTATCCTGTATTTGCATCTATATATTTGCTGATAATATGAAGGGGAAGTAATATATGAAATCATTATTCGTACTTTTTAGTTTTAATTACTGAAATGCTTATGTACAATTTCGTATCAAACCTAATAATGTTCTTGTGTCTAGTTGACATAGGACTTTTATTTGTACATCTCTAAAGAACTTTTGCGATAAATAAAAGAGAAATGTCTCCAATCGAGTTGAAAAATCAAAATTGAATGTACCCGAATGATCATGATAAGAGTAAGATGAGCATTTAATTTCGTAGTTGTCATGTGTATGTTCTTAATGATTTCACTATGAAAAAACATTGAATAAAGATTCTATAATAACCGAATTAACGTTTTTTATCGGAAATATGACATAATTGTTAGCAAAATAGTATAAATATAGTAATTGAATTTAAATAAACAACTAGTCCAAGGTGTGCAAGTACTGTACTTAAAGATAATTTTGGTAAAATCAACTCTTCCCCAGGATTCAACGAAGATTAATTATATTACCACCACTATTTTTATTTCTTGCACTATAATTGTACTTAAAAATCTTAATCTTCGTTTATTATGACACTTATATCTCTAACAACTTTTCATATAGTTCTTATCCTTAAATTTTTCATTAGTTAAGATATTTTGTATTTGATAATAATTTTATGTCCAAGGTCTGTTGAAAATACTTATTTTACCATCATATTTAAAAAATAAATAAATAAAAACTGCAAGAAAAAAAATACTTTTTCCTTATTTCAAAGCATGAAAATAAAATAATTAGATATAAATCGCCATCAAATACAAGATATACTAATTAATGGAAGGTTAAAAATAAGGATTCAACGGAAAAAGTTAACAAAATAATTACTATAATGAGCAAAAATTGAGGAGTTTAACTGTAATTAAAATGTAGTGTATCAAATAAAAATTGTGGTGGTATAATTGCCACAAAATGAAAACTTAAGAAAGCTATGAGGAAATAGTGAGGGGGAACAAATGAAATGGCGGAGAGGTGAGTCAATCTTGAAGATCCAAGAACAACAAGAGTTATCGGTAAAAGAAAAGTCCAACTCAAGCTAATCTGTAGAAATACCTTAGAATTGAAAACTAATTCTAAGAAATTGAATTGCCTAGAAATTGTTTTCCTGAACATTGTAAATTATTGTGTTTAATTGGTATAATTTTTCATGTGAAAATTGTTAAAATAAAAGTATTTTTTGACGTTCGTTTGGTTTTGTTTTATATAAAAATTGTCAATTAAAGGGATACATTTTACTAGTATTGGGAATGAAATTTGTTTCTATTGCTAACACAAAAAAAAATCAAGAAAATCATCTATCTTTTGGTGTTCGTTTGACTTTATTTTACATGAAAATTGCTAATTAAAATGGAATTTTTTTTACAATAATTCTTAAAATTTGTTTCCATTACTTAAAAAAACTAAAAAAAAAACATAACAGGGAACTAAAAAACCAATTCCCACCACGGAAAACCAAGAAAATTTCAAGTTCCAAGAAAATCAAGAAACCAAATTCCGTGAAATTCAAAACCTATCAAACAAACAAAATTGGAAGAAAGTGAAATTTGAATTTCATTTTTCATGAAATTTGAACCAATCAAACATAGCATAAGTGCTACATATACCTAACATTAGAGCAAATTTAATATATGTGTCTCTATTAGGGAAAGCAGGGGTTAGAGTGTCATTCGAATCTGACAAGATTGTAATGACCAAAAATAATGATTTTGTTGGGAAAGGTTACTATACTCCAGGGTTATTTGTACTGAATGTCCACAATGTCAATAATGAAAATGCTAGATTATCTTCTATTTACTCGACGACATGCTAGATTAGGTTATTTTAGTATACCATATAATAAAAAAATGTTGTCATTGGTATGATATCTAATTCTGGCTCTACACGCATAAATAAATGTGAAGGTTGTACTGAGACTAAGCAGACGAAGAAAACATGTACACCTGTTCATGGGGACAGTGAGTTATTAAGTTTAATTCATGCTGATTTAAGTGATTTAAAACAAATGATGACTAGATGTGGAAAGAAATATTATGTGACTTTTATAGATAATTGCTCAAGATACACTAAAGTTTACTTAGAAATAAGGATGAAACTTTTGGTATATATCTAATTTATAAAGCTGGTTGAAAATCAACTAAATAGAAAAATAAAAAGAGTTAGATTATATAGAGAAGGAAATTTTTTACCAAGAAATGAATTTGTGAAAAGGAAGGTATAATTCATAAAACTATTCTTTATTCCCCAGAATCAAATGGTGTAGCTGAAAGAAAGAATAGAACACTAAAATAAATGATGAATGCTATGTATTATGCACCTAATAACTTGTGGGGAAAGCTATCGTATTCGCATCACTTACAAAATAGAATTTCCTATAAGAAAATTGGTAAGACACCTTATGAACTGTGGATTGATTATACTCCTAGCTTAAAATAATTAAAGAAGTGTGGGGGTTATCTTGTTAAGGTTATGCTACCTGAACCTAAGAAGAGAAAAATAGGTTCTAGAACTAATTGTATGTTAATTGGTTATGTTGAACATAGGGCAGCATTTAGATTTCTTGATTGAAAAAGTATATTCTTGATTGCAACACTATTGTTGAAACAAGGAATGCTAAATTCTTTGAGCATATTTATCCATTGTCTGAAGAGATTTTTCATGCATCTGTTAATCAAAACACCAATGAAAGTGTTGACGTGACCTTTAACGAGGAATTAATAAGGAGTAAGAGAGCTAGGAAAGAAATTTCCTTTGGAGATGACTTTGTCACTTATCCTATTGATGGTGACCCAATCACTTACTTTGATACTATCTCATCTTCTAATTCAGCACTTTGAAAAGAAGTTATTGGTAATGAGATTATGTCACTTTTACAAAATTCAGACTTGGGAATTAGTTGACTTACCTCTTACAACAAGTCTCATTGGTTGCAAATGAATTTTTAAGACAAAAATGTTTTCCTAAAGGTTTGATTGATAAATATAAAGCTAGAATAATTGCAAAAGATTTTACACAAAAACAAAATGTTGAATATTTTGATATTTTTGCCCTAGTAACTAGAATTTCTTCAATATATGTTTTAATTGCCTTAGCTCCTATTTACGAGCTTTTAATACATCAAATAAATGTCAAAACAACTTTTTTGAATGGTGATTTAGAAGAAGACACTTATACGGTGCAACCTGATCGCTATATAGCTCCTGGATTATATAATAAAGCGTGTAAATTGAGAAAGTCCATATATGATTTTAAATAAGCACCAAAATAATGGCATGAGAAACTTGATCAAGTTACATTGAGTAATATTTTCTCATCGGTTGATGTGGATAAGTGTGTTTATACAAAAGTTGCTAATAATGAATATGTGATTATTACTTTATATGTGGATGATATGCCTATATTTGGTACTAGCATTCATGTAGTGCAAAGTACTAAATGTTTTCTAACTTCAAAATTTGATATGAAAGCCGTGTGAAGCTAGTGTGATTTTGGGTGTTATAATCATAAGGAAAGACAATGGATATTGTCACAACAACATTATGTAGAGAAACTTCTCAGGAAGTTTGATCACTTCGATGTGACATATGTGGATACTCCTTATGATGCAAATACTCAATTAAAGAAAAATCGGGGTGACCAAATTGCTAATACTAAATATGCTCAAATTATTGGAAGCCTGATGCATTTGATGGACTTTTCTAGACTTGACATAGCTTATGTTGTGTGCAGACTGAGTAGATGTACTCATAATCCTAATCGTGATCATTATGCTGGATTAGTCAGATTAATGAAATATTCAAGAGGTACTATGAACTACGGTATTCTACATAGTAGATTTCCTACTGTATTGAACGAATACAATGATGCGAATTGGATTTATGATTTAAAAGAGACTAAATCCACTAGTGGTCATGTCTTCATTCTTGGCAAGGCGTGGAAATCATCCAAACAAATTATTATTGCTAGATCCACCATGAAATCTGAGTTTATAACTCTAGAATTAGTTGATAGTGAGGCTAATGGCCAAGATTCCTCTAGGAATGTAACCGACACCATCTATGTTGATTTACTGTGATTATGTGAAGTTGGCCATTCATTTGACTAAACCATTGGGAAAAAAAATTATTTTTTGAAAAATCGAGGAAAATGGGACTAAAACCTATATGAGATATCAATGTTGATGGTAACCTGATCTATGTGATTGGAGATCCCCATGAATTAGGTTCACATGGGTAATAACAAATCACTTGATGATACTGACGCACTACACAATTAACAAAGTCCTACCTATTGCGTGTGATTAGTGCTTAACTGCAATTTTAACGTGAGGTTGAGTTAAACTCTTAATGTATTCCATAGCCTTTAGTGTGGTTTACAAAGATAAAGTGTACACTTTATGAAATTACCATATGAGTGTGGAGTGGGGCCACTTCAATGAGATTGTGGCAAAATCTCTAAATGACTCATGATAACTAGATGTGCATATGGCCTATTAGTCCAAACACACGTGGTTTATAGAAGCTATAAGCTTCATCGATAATTCTGTAAGTTATGTTTCATTCTTTCTACATATGGTTCATAGTGCAAAAGACATCACACTCGAAGCATTTTTACATCTATGCGTATAGATCCAATATAAATCTTTCAAAGTATGGGGGCATTGTTGCATAAATTTTTTTAAAAGAATATCTTTGATTAATTCATTTGAATTGGTTGTTATTTTCAACCGCCAATTAACCAAGTCTTGATGCACGTGCTTATTTGTTGATTGCACAAAATCAGCAATTTATAACTTACTGATTTTATTGGCCCGATATTTGCAAAATTAATTACATTGAAGCCTATAAATACAAACCCTTATTCATTCATTTTACTCGCTCACCTTTCCCCATCTCATTTGATCTCACTCTTTCTTCATAACTTTCTTAAATTCTCTTCTTGTGTTTTCAATTAGTATTTAGATTGGATTTCTATTCCTATTTGAATTCTGTTGCTCCTATCACCCTCTCATTTGTGGAAGAGTTCGTTGAATCCTTGAGGACAGTGCTCACACATCTCGGACTAGTTGATTATTAAATTCAGGTATTGTATTTATCCTATTTTCCTGACAGTAATATCTTTTTTTAGGAATAATTATAACATTGGGTGCTCATATGAACTTTATTTGTCGAATATGACATGTCATTACTTACTAGAATCAATGCATTAATAACAGTTCGTCATAAAAATAAGTACTTTTTGTGCTTATAAGTAATGCTAATGTCATCTATAAGAGCATTTTCAAAATAACAACAAAGAAGAAGCTAAGAAAGTTATAAATTTACATGACTAAAATCAAGTACTCACTCCGTACTTTGAATGTCAATCGAGTGTATGAGCCCAAAAGTATCGTGCTAAACACTTTAGTCTGCTAAGGTTGTCCGAAGGGGCAGAGAACTTTCAACTTCCTTAGTCTCTGAACTCCTTTCTGCAACAACCTTTGACATGCCAAACATCTAAAGGCGAAAAAATATTCATCAATTCAAATTTAATCCACGATATACCATTTTTGACAGTGAAAATTGAATAGCACAAGACAATATTAAGAAAATGAAGCTAAAATCTTAATCGCCATGATGTCTAGAACAAAACATGGAGTGAAGTATAGAAGTTTATACCTTCTTAACCGTCTTCTGAAAGCAATTTTTGTGTTCTTCCATAGAAGCATGGATGAATTCATCAATGTGATCCCTTACGTCTTCCAGAAAGGTTGCATCATCTTTCTTCTTCTTTCGACATGAAGTCAGTGGCAGCTTCTCATTTGAACTTTTTTCGATTGACATATTGTGATCCCTACTTGATTATTTACACCCCAAAAAAATAAAAAGTTATAACATCAGCATCGCAATAGAGTATCACTTGAAAGATGTTCACAATGCTAAAGCATGTGGAAATCTCGAATTCAAGTTTCACTGCTATTTCATTATGAAAATTATGCACATGTCAAGATCTTATTACAACAATCATGTTGCATGTACATCATTCTTTACGTCTTTATTTACACTCTTACATATGGCATAATAACATCTTTTGATTTTTTCAAAAACCTTTTCACATCATGCCCAGATTTTATCACATAGGGGGAAATTTCATCCATGACGTGAAGCGAGATGTACATATAGCTTAGTTCTTATTACAAATATGAATTGCCCCCAAGTAAAGAGGTGGGTTAAAGACCTAATTTAAATGCATAAATATGTTCCCGTGTAGTTTAATAGTACTTGAATAATCTGTATAACAAGAGCAACTGATAAAGAAAATAAGAAAAACACGATTTTAAATAGTTCAATATCAACACAAGAGCTGCAGCTATATCTCTCTATTTCTATTTTCCATTCACTATAACACATGACTTGTACCAATACGCTGTATATGGCAAGGAAATATTCGAACAATGTAATACATGGGTGAATTTCTCCAAAATACCTTTTAATTATTAAGTTGAGTTGAACCACGGGCGAAAGGGGAAGTGTTCGGGAGGTTAACTGCTCGACCAAATGTCCCAAAGAAAAAAATAACCATTAATATTCGCGATCAGAACTCTCTCTCTCTCTCTCTCTCTCTCACTCATACATCATCTATTTTATAGCTTCTTAGACTGACACTTATTGGTTCTCAAAGACAGAAAAATGAACTAAAAAATAGACAGATCATTCCACTTTATCAAGAAATAGTCTAAAATGAAACAGATTTTCAAGGAAGAGGGATGGGGCATACCTTGAATGAAAAATTCAGATTGTATCGGCTGGGCGAGAATCAAAGAGGAGAATGGATATACATACACGATGAATTTCTAGTTTCATCTAGAAAGAGAAATGGTGTAACGATAATATTGAACAAGAGTTCTTTTACCCACATGGCGTAACTGAATTGGTAGTATACGAAAAGAAATTATTCTTTTTGATGGGATGAGAGCACTAGATTACAACCCATGACTCGTGAAACAAATTGCTATTGGTTGATGGGCTTAATCCGAATCAACATTTATTTTGGGCCGCCTATAAAGGCCCAACCGGATAATAATATTTTCAACTAATTGATACTTACATTATTCTAAAAAATTTAATAACATGTGGACTATAATTCTGGTGGTGTGGTCCTCATGCACGATGGTAAACGAGACCACATTGATAATCTTAACCCCCATTTGAACCATATTATTGTAAAAATGAAAATAAAAAATATATTCATTATAAACCCCTCACAAAAGATAAAAAGTTAAATATAGTAACTTGATGTGATGAATAATTATCATATTTTTCATTTTAATGAGAAAATAATGAAACTCAAATAGGAACTTAATGTCTTTCTTATCACATCCTTTTTGTGATTTACATTTCCAATAAAAACATAAAAATCAGCATTAGCAAGAATATGTAAATTATAAAAAGAAAACATATTTTACGTACCGTAACATACGGAAAAACAATCTTGAGAGTTTAGATGTGTGTGGGGGGGGGGGGAGACATAATATTATTATTAGCTTTTGTCACACGAAAATATAAGAGCAAGTCACGTTACTTGTACTGAAACTTAATCTAGGAATGTGCAGTTAGCAAGAATATGTAAATTATAAAAAGAAAACATATTTTACGTACCGTAACATACGGAAAAACAATCTTGAGAGTTTAGATGTGTGTGGGGGGGGGGGGAGACATAATATTATTATTAGCTTTTGTCACACGAAAATATAAGAGCAAGTCACGTTACTTGTACTGAAACTTAATCTAGGAATGTGCAGTCATTGACAAGAAATTAGGGAAAACAGCCAACTCAAAGATGTTAAACCCAAACCGTATCAGGTAAACCCTTTTCTTGGAACTCTCCGACTGAAGACATTTTATGTGGAAATGATGAAAAAAGTGAAGTTGAAGCTGAGGATAATGATTCATTATGATTAATATCAATAACACGACTGAATAAAAAAGAGGAAAATACTTAAGCGTATACTACTAGTCTACAATAGATAACATGAACATGCGTGCATATATCGCAAATATTTCTTTCCATAAAGTCAGTTCTCCACTTCCAATATATCCAATTCTACATCTTGTCAAACACAGACAGATTATCATAAAAGAGATCTCTCAAATCGAAAGCTCAGATGCAGTCACAGGTATACATCATGAGCGTACACGAGAACCATTTATAATGCAACCCCCTGCAGCTTTAATACTGCCTCGACTGGCTCCCAGAGTGCCTTGCCAACTCAGCCTACAAGACAATGGAAAATAAAAAACAGACAAAAGTTCAGATACAATGGCGCGCCTTTGGACAAACACACAAAAGGTGGTGTTATCTTCTTCAATTTGTTTCATGATAATCATCATCATGGATATTACTTGCTCTCCACAAAGATTGATGTATAAAAATAGAAGAAAAACCTACACTACAGGACACAAGAATAAAAGAAGGCTGAAAAATGGGTCATTTATAATAATGATTCTTATAAATTATATAGACCCCATGGCAATGGACCAAAGCCAAGTCCCCTCCGATGGTTCTTATTAGAAAAAAGCGCAAAACTACAATTATTAGCTTGGATAGCTTTCAGGAGAATATTTTTTATATATAAAGAAATATGAATGTGTGTATGTTCACAAGCTCTATGAAAAATGATCTACTATGCTTAGTAGATCGTTTCTCTATGAAAAATGAGCACAGCTCTTTAGAGATCCTTCTTCTTTTTTGGAAGAGAACACAACTGTCTACATTGATTGTAACAATTAAAATACATCATTCTATTAACATCTTTAATGATACCCTCACAGATAACAAAAAATTTATAAACCATGGAAGTCAAAGGAAAAAATGAGAATCAGAGATTAGGGATTTGAAATGTCTATCATCAAATACAGAAGCACATTTAGTATTTGCAGAATGGTTTTCATGATTACTTAATTGTATAAAGAGAAAAAAAATGCCTTGTGAATCTTAAAATTCCCTAATAAGTCAAGTGCTATCACTTTTGAAGCTTAAACCTTGTCAGTAATTTGAATAACTTTCAATCTACCATCCCCAATGAAAGAAACCAATGTTTAAGAACTAGACCAAAGACCTAGAGACCAAAGACCTAGAGACCAAAGCCATACATGACTCTATATTTGAGTTGAGATTCTAAATTTTCAATGACTTTTAACATACGATATAAGTGGTATCAAAAATATATGGCACTGTCACTCCAAAATTGCAAACCAACATGAACTGATATTCAATCTTGATAGTACCTAATTTGGAACATTTTCCTACATGGAAGTTGTTAATATCAAGTTGTCAACCAGAGAAACAGACTTCATATTTTCTTCCTGATGCCTAAAGTAATTACGAGGCCTTAATGCCTTATCTACGGTAGATGTTGAACCATAAAATGAGATCAAAATCAGCAGCCAATGTTAAGTAAAACAAGATGTAAAGAGCCTTCAAAGGACTTCTTTTTAACAGGAATCACAGTAATGAAATTGTACCTCAAATGCATTCTTCAGATGATCAAGCTCCTTATCCAGATCGTTGATAGCCTGGTTGTATGCCTGCATTGGTGAAGATTGGCTGGTAGTGTGAATCTGCACATTGGCGGTTAAAAACATTAAAACCCAAAGGAAAAAAGTACTGTCTGACACTATTAACCTAATAACAAATGACAAGTTCCAAAGAGCATACCCGGCATTTCGGATAATAGAGGAGCTAAAAACAAAATGGAGACTTATAAGCATTGAAAACTGATCGTCAGTTTTTATAGATTGTGAACATCGGGAAGATTCCTTTTCTCGAATGAAGAAAGATAAATCAAATAGTCTGATACCATGAATTGTTTGGAAATTTTTAAAGAACACTGCATCTGTGTGGCAGTATTACAGTGACCACAATGATTCACATGTTTAGAAGCATTTTACTTCTAGAACCACGGTGAAATCTGTGTGTGTGTGTTACAGAAATGGGGTTATATATCAACTTTTACAGGGTAAACAATTCAAGTGAGGTATGTATGCTGTTCCGCAAAAATTCTGAATTTCTTCTTGTTAACAATTTAACAATACCCTTTATGACTCTAGTTTACAGTGGTGGTGGTGTTGGGGAGCCTGGATTTATTACATTCGAAGGCGTTTTAATTGTCATCTTATTAACTCGTTTCATCCCTAAGATTCAATATATAATAAAATATTTTCCCATCAGCGACTCCAAATGATATAAAGAACATGTACTGTGGCCCCCCAGGGCACTTCTCCACTGGCAAAGGACGGACGCTGTCAAACCTGGCAGAGCAGAGGTCGTGAGTTCGAAACATGGGGCTCTTGGAAGGCAAGGATTTATTCTTGGAAGGCAAGGGAACATTTGGAAGGCAAGGATTTATTCTTGGAAGGCAAG